CCCCAAAACCCCAAAACCCCAAAACCCCAAAACCCCAAAACCCCATGAGCATTAAAATAAGAAGTATATTGAGAGATTTAAAATCAAGCTGATATTTTATTTTTCAGCAGTTGCTGCTCTTCCTTATTTATATAGTCAATCATCTTTTGATCATGCTAAATCTAGTCCAACAGCCCTTTGTTAATCTCAAACATTGCCATAATCTAAGACTCAGATTTACCTTTAGACTGGTAAGATATCGTGTTTCTGCAGATTGGGCAGCTGATAGTCATATCCTTGTCACTTCCTGCCTTGAGAGCATAGTACATCATATCGTTCTTACACAGAACAAAGGGATATTCCTTATGCTCGGAACAAATCAAATTTATGGGCGGGTTGTCCTCAGAATAGCATAGCATGCAGATTGGACACTCGATATCATAAATAAATTGATCTTGCAAAGCAGACTAAGCAGTCTTTGGATTTATTAAATCATTAAGTTGCTATTCATCTAATGCTTCATCCCAGTTATGTGACATTCTCATGTTGATTTCCTGATTTACCTGCTGGAATGGCATATCTTCGCCATCAATAAGATGCTTTAGTCTTTGTAAAATTGATAAAAGAGCTGCATTAACTGTAACATTATACTTCCAGAACTCCATAAACTCTTTCTACTACCTTGCATTAGCATCATTTTCCTCCTGTTCCTCTACCACTATCTCATTTTAATCATAGATATTTAAAATAGCGAAGACTGTCTTCTGATTGCAATGTCTACACTCCACAGTCAATTCTCTTTTTTACTGGTTAATTCGGTCAGTATTCTCAACTATTATCTCCAAATTTAAACTTTAAGCAGCCTGCTTTCCATCAATTTTATGATCTTCTATATTCTATTAGTCTAGATTGATTCCTTTATAATTCTGATAGATTCCAAACATACACTCAATGCAAACATTATGATCACAAGAGAGCATTCCTGGTTGTCTTCCAGGCTAGGCAAAATCATAAAGACAATAGCAGCACATTCTCTAGTTATCAAAGTCCTACAAATTTCCTCCTACTCTTTAGTCTAATAGAGATTGTTATCCATGCTTAACATCCTCCTCTTTGAGTTCTTTAACTCTCACTTGTATCTATTGATGATCAACAGCACCTTCATTCTCTCTCTGATTCAGATCATCCTCTTAGTCATTATCGTCAGCATCAAATTCTAAGTCGATGCCATGCTTCCTAGCAAATCGCTACTCTGCTTAGAGAGCATTCAAATAATATTTCTTCTCGTATATCTTATTAAGTAGATTTTGATTGATTTTAAACACTCCTCTTTTCCTTGGGTTTAAATAGTAATCAAACAACTACTGCTTTGTAGCTATATTATAGCTATTCAGTTCTTGTTTAAGCTCAGTAGATAGGCATTTTATCTTGAATTTAGTTCTGTCCTTGCGGGATTGAACCAAGTAAGTATTCTTAAAGCAATATTCACAGAGTTAGTGAACTTTTAAACAAGGACATTTCATAATCATAATGGGTCTGTTTATCTTGCAGTACATTTCACTACATTGAGGGCATAACAGTTCAGTCTACTCAGATGGAGCTAGAATAAACTGTCTAAGTGTAGTTCTTCGATTTTGTGTTTTGGTCTTTACAAGATTACTTCCCTCAGTTTTCTCCTCCTCTGCCTATGATTTTTGCCTTTGAATATTAGATCTAGTAGCAGCTCTATTAAATATAACTGGTGACTCTAGAAGATGGTTAGAATCTGACTATTACTTGCTAGGCTCCTTCTGAAATAGAATCATTGGCTCATTGATAAATTTGGGCTCTTCCTATTCTCTATGAGTATTGCTGTTATTATAGTCGCCGTGTTCTCTTTCAATTGCTTCTACCTCCCGTTTTAGAATAAGTTTCTTCTTTTTACACTGAAGGATAATCCATTTTATCATGGCCTCATTGAGATATTTGGCTTGTCTATCCTCGCCACAAAATACACAGAATATCTTCAGCGCCTCCTGGTCCTTGTAATACTTCAAGTGGCATTGCTTGCATAACTTGTGCGAGCATCTGTCCATGACAATTGGTATACGTGCGTTTTCTTCAAAGACCTGGTAGCATTTGAAGCATACCATTTCTTCTCTTATCTTAGCAAACATTTTCTACTGATTCTGCTGCTGGAAATAGACATAATTTATGCGTTACTGCAATTTTTATTCTTGCAAGATCTTTTCTTCGTTGATGTCTACTTTGGTTACTTGCAGAACAAAGATACTCTGACTGTCACTTTCAGGCAATTGATAGACTTTGCAGGCCTTTTTAGCCAAGATAGGTCTATGCTTATAAACAAGTAAGAGCAAGTCATAGTTTGGTCTTATACTAGTAGCTATGTCCTTAAGAGAACTGAACTGATATACATGGCCGCAGATGATGCAGTCAATAGTAAAGTCTTTATCCTTAGCCTTACCTTTGTCAAGGTCCTGCATTTGTCTCATGATCTGAGATCTAAGACAGTATTAGCACATGGTATGCAAGCATCCTGGCAGGTTAAGAGCCATGTTTCTATCATGATAGATCTCCTTACACAGACTACAGTAGATCATGCTGCAGTACACGCCATCCACTTGATTCATTGTGATTTCCTTCTTTGCCTGAGCAATTGGATCTATTTTCTTCTGAAGTAGACTCAAACGACCAAAGCCGCTGGCTGGGGTTGATTTGTACATAGGATTAACGCCTTTGACATCTTTGGGTAACTCCAGGTGAGATTTATTTTTCAATAATGAAGGTTGCTTGATGATTTCTAATTGATCCACCTTTTATTAGTCCATTATTAACTTTTGATATAAATAAATTAAACTATAAAATAATGTTAAATTGCTTTAAGGGGTTTTGGGGTTTTGGGG